ATAATATAATAATAATAATAATAATAATAATAATAATAATAATAATAATAATAATAATAATATTTATTATGTACATGTACCATTCAGTTTTATGGGGGGAATACGATGCTACACCCGGTGATTTTCACCGGGTAGCTCTTTTCTTGACATGTGTCCTTTTTTATTTAGGGTTAATATGCTATGAGCCCCTCAAACGAAACCGAATTTGAACTAAATGACAAGTTCAAATTCATTTTTTAATTAAATCCTTAATTTCAAATAATATATGGGCCACATCCCTAATTCTTTTTTTATCCCTATATTACCCTTATACCCTAAATTATATAACCTACATATATTACGTTTCTCCAATTCAGATTTATTTCGTTTTTTGGTTTCTCTCATGTTCTCTCTCTTCCTCCCTCTCTCACACGATCTGTGTATCTTCAATTCCGTTTTTTTTCTCGCTCTATCTCTCTCTCTCACCTCTCCATTCCCACACACCTCTCTTGTTAATTAATTCAGTAGTAGCCGAGCCAAGCCAGGGGTTGTGGTGGAAAGGGCGGCGGCGGGGGCTGTGGTGGAGAAAGAGGCGGCGGCGGCGGGCTGTGGTCGAGGCGGCGGGCTGTGGTGGTTGAGATGGCGGCGAGGGGTTGTGGTAGTCGAGACGGCGGCGGGGGCTATGGTGGTTGAGTCGGGATCGGCGATTGTGGTGGTCTAGGCGGCGGGCTGTGGTGGTCGGGATGGCTGCGGGGCTGTGGAGGAGGACGCGGCGGCCGCGGGCTGTGGTGGTCAAGCCGGCGGGCTCTGATGGTCGAGATGGCGGCGAGGGGTTGTTGTGGTTGTGGCGGGGGGGTGTGGTTAATTATGGTGGAGATTTGATCTTGATCTTCAAGAGATTTTGTTTGATGTAGGTTCAAAATCGTAAATCTAGTTTTCCCAAAGTTCGTAGGTGACTATGGTTGCGATGGATGCAGACGTTGGCGGCTAGGGTTTATATATATATATATATAGATTGAATTAACAAAAACGAAAAACGAGTTTTGTTTTGTAATTTTCAACAATATTGTAGATATTTTTTTTAATAATAGTGTAAAAACGATAGTACACCATAGTACAACATAGTACACCATAGTATACCATAGTATTTTTAAAATTTGCTGAATTATTTAACAAAAAAGAAGAAAAAAAAAACGTAAGTTTCAAAAAATGTTATAAATAAGGAAAAAAAAATTGTTTATATATAATAACGTAAAAAATGTAGAGTGAAAATTGAAAAAATAAAGATGAGTGAAAGGGCATTTTTGGAATGATTTTAATAAATGATGTGAAGCAAATGTTTAGTAGAGCTTGTCATTTAGTTCTAATTAGTTTTGTCACCAGGGACCTATATCTTAAGACCCCTTTTATTTATTTTATAATTATATTTCTAAAACCCATTGGGCCATAACTGAACCCGTAGTGGGAATCTTATTAATTAGGGTGCCTGGTTATATTCACCAGGTGTAGCATAAAATTTCCCGTTTTATGGAATTAAAATCACTAGGCCAAAACAGCTCACTTGCGACGTTTTTTTTTTGGCGACGATTCCAGAATCGTCGCTAGTTTGCGACCATTTTGACTAACAAACGTCGCAAGATATCGGAAAATAAGATTTCGATGGAATAACCACGTGCTAATGCAACAGTTGCTTCCATTGGCAATTCGCAATGTGGGGTTACCAAAAAAATTGGCAAGTACAATAATCCAATTGTGCAGTTTTTTCCGAGAATTGTGTTCAAAAACAAACTCAGTTGAAGATTTTCGAAAACTGCACTCTGGTATTGTAAAAATCTTGTGTGATCTTGAGAAATTGTTTCCCCCGGCGTTATTTGTTGTTATGATGCATTTGCCGGTTCATCTAGCTCATGAAGCAATGGTTGCCGGACCGGGCAATTATCGATGGATGTATCCGATAGAGAGGTATTTATAATTTTTTAAATGTTAATTCATTTTCTAATAATTTATAATTTATTAAATGTTTTATAAGAAAAAAATTCTACCTCAGATACTTGGGTCACTTGAAGTCATTCGTACGGAATAAAAAGTGTCCCGAAGGTTCGATTGCCGAATGCTACATCACTGAGGAGTGCTTAAATTTTTGCTCATTGTACACAGAAAATTCATCTATGAATATTTGTGACAATGACAAACAAGGCAATGAAGTGCGACCTAAGTACAGAACGCTTAGTTATGATGAAATGGAAAAGGCGCACACCTATTGTCTTTTTAACTCAGATGAAGTTCAACCTTACATTGAGTAAGTGACTTGCTAATATTTTGAGTTACTACTATCTTCACTTGATTTCCACTTAAAAAATTACACAAATCCTTCTAGGGAGCATTTCGAGACCATTAAGAATAAAATCTCGACAAGTGACCATGCATACCAATGGCGCATTCAACAATTACAAGAAAAAGAATTTCGTCATTGGTTTCAATCCTATGTAAGTGTTTGATTTGACTTGAACTTCCTTTGCAAATTGTTTTGAACAAAGTAGTAATAATTAATTGATAACGAAATAGGTGCAAGGAAAAAGTGAATTGTCTGAAGATCTGAAAGCCTTAGCTTGTTCACCTCAATTTAGAGTGAAGGCTTTAAAGAGATTTGAAGTGCAAGGATTTATGTTCCGCACAAAATCATCTGAAGAGTCTCTTTTAACTCAAAATAGTGGTGTTTTTGTCAAATCAAAGACTACTAGTTTCGCAAGCTCAAAGGATAAATCTCCGAAAGAAGAAGATGTAGGGTACTACGGCGTAATAAAAGACATCATTGAACTTTCATTCGCTGTAGGTACAAAAAAGGTGGTTTTGTTCGAGTGTGATTGGGCTAATATTCGCATGAATAAGACGGATGGTTTGGGATTTACACTTGTGAACTTAACAAAACCAGATATAAAAACAAGTCCTTTTGTTATGCCATGTCAAGTATTGCAAGCATTCTACGTTGAGGATCCGCAAGATAAACCATGGATGGTTCCTATTGTTATTAAACCAAGGCACAACTTTGCCTTGAGTCCTGATGATCCTACTGCAGTTGAAGATGAATGCTATGAGATACTTCCTATAAACCATGACATAAATATTATAGATGATATGGAAGAGTGAGGGATTATTTTGTTGATCAAATGTTAGTTGATTGTAATTTACTTGTAATATACTTTTGTTTATGTGATCATTTTATTTTTTTTATTATAATTTACTTGTTATATAAATTATGTTTAATATTTATTGCCATATATCATGCATGTCATAAGTATTGTGTTCATTTTATTTTTGTCTACGTATATCTTATTTCTTTTCTCAGGCGAGCGATGTCGGAGGAGGATATTTCTGTTGATCATATAGGTACCGAGTCTACAGGTACTGACGTGGTTGATTTGGAATTTGACGACAAGGGTATTCCCGTTGCACCTGGGAGGTATAAGTTGGCGGTGGCTATTAGTAACGAGGTTACGCATTGGGATAATTTTGATCCATGTATTTCTTGGCCTAACCACAAAAAAATGGGCCGTGTCGAGGGACTGTGGAAAGCGTTTAAGGTATTTGTATGTAATTTTTATTTTATATAAGTTATTTAATTTTATGTTTCATTTCAATTGTATATTTTATTTATTTTATTTAGGAAACTTGGAAACTTCCTGAAAATGAGGCTACAAAAAAATGGTTCAATGAGACTGCTAACGGTCGTTGGAAAGATGCGAAAACTAAACGATTGAAGGCAGTCTTTGATAGAGCTCCAGACCTTGCCACGGCTAAGGCAAATTGTCCAAATAGGATTAGTGTTCAAACTTGGGAGAAACTATGTGATCAATTTCATTCTATTTCCACTCCTGGTGTTGATGGGAAGGTAAATTATATATATTTAATTTATGAATCATGTTTAAATACATTAAAGAGGTTTATTTTTTTGTGTTATTGTTCACAGTCCAAATCAACCAAATGCAAGGACTCGCGAAAGAAAGTCTCGACAGACCACCATTGGGGTCGAACAAGTATCAATAGTTGGTCCCACAATCATGTAAGTAATTTGATCTATAATATTAATTTATTTAAGTTTAAAATAGATACTTACTTTATAATATTTTAATATAGTTTAAAAAATTGGGCAAAAATCCTACGGTGTTTGATACGTATAAGAAAGCATATATGGGTATTGATGTACTGAGGGAAACCGGGCCAAGTATTAGTGAGGAAGGAGATACAGAAGAACCGTATAATGGGATAGCAACTCCTGAACAACTTCGCATTTCGGTAAGTGTAATGCAATTTTATTCTTCAGTTGGTTGTATGTTAATTACTTATGTTTATTGTTGTCGCATGTTTGATATGATAAATTAGTACGTAGTTGAGATATGTGGATATGAATATTTGTTTTAAATAATGTTAAGTTGTTGCGTACATGGATGGTTTTTTTGGGGATGTTCATTTATTAGTTGTTATGCTGTCGAAATTTTGCTAAACAAGTGTACTTAATCATTTTCAGGCTGATTTGGAACGAGTGTACGATGAGACAATTCGTGATGGAAGTGACGAAAGCACGTCCAACTCAATTGCGATAGAAAAAGTGCTCGGGAAAAGCAAAGGGCTTGGAATTAAGATTGCAACCACCACAAAGAGTTCAAAGTCGAGATTTTCTTCAATTCCGCCGGAAGTGCAAATGGAAATGAATTCAATGAAAGAGCAAATGCTACTTAAAGATGAAAAAATGGAAAGATTGGAAGCGGAATTGAAAGAAACCCGAGAAATTGTGAACACCTTGGTCGGCTGTTTTGGACTACAAGCCTCGACATCGACTCCTTCCAATGATGGTGGAGTATAAAAAAGGGATGAACTTTGTTTGGTTTTTGAATTAAACTTTGCAACACTACATTATATGCTTTTAAGTTTTATGTACTTTTTTAATTTATGTTTTGTGCTACCTTGATATTTAATCCGTATAATTGGTTTTAATATTTTCGATATAAGTGTATTTTTTTTTTTTACAACTGCTGAATCAGGTTGAATTTCTTAAATGAAAAAATAAATAAACCAGAAATTATATTAAAAAAAATAAAAAACCTAGCGACGAATAAATAAAACAAATCGTCGCAAATAAATCATGGGGCTTGCGACGAAAACAGTCATTAGTCGCAAATATTTTTCGTAAACGTAGCGACGAAAATGTCACAAACGTCGCTAAAAGTAGCGACGAAAATAACATTCGTCGCCAACATTTGCGACTTATTACGTATTTGTCGCACCTGGTAAGCGACGAAAGTATAGGATCCGTCGCGAATACTGAAAAAAACATTTTTTTCCAGAAAATACGAATTTTGCGACGATTTATGTAATTCGTCGCCAACATGTGCGTCGAAAATGTGTTTTCGTCGCCGACCTTGCGACGGGCCGTTTGGCGACGTTTTGTGTAGGATGTGGCGACGAAAATAATTCGTCGCAAACAAAAAAAAATCGTCGCCAAATACACATTTTCGTCGCCAAATTTCGTCGCCAGTCGACTGTTTTGGCCTAGTGAATATCATAGTTTTAAATACTGAATATAAAATAAATAAGAAAAGAAATACAGTCAAAATAAAAATCTAAAAGGCAAGGAAAGAAGAGGGAAATGGAAAGGGGAAAGAAAAGAAGAGGGAAATGAAAAGGTAAAAGAAAAAAGAGGGGGGAAATGGAAATTTTCCACCGCTAGTACTAATCGTGATTTTTCGTTTTGTTTTCTTTTATTAAATATTAAGAGTGCAAATTCTCATATTTAATTATATAATTCAAGACATTAGTAGTTATCTTAATATTAATTTTCACAACAAAACATATATTTTAATAAAAAAATGCAAAACATATATTAAATATAAATAACCTATATATAATAATAATAATAATAATAAATACAATAATAGGAAAAAAAATATTGAAAAGAATGTCTTGAAATTATTGATTATTGCATATAGGAAAATTATTGATAATAATATATTTATAACAATAATGTAGATGGTATTTATTTTAACAAAAATAGATAATAACTCATTCCAATTATGGACAATAATATAATAAAATTCTTGGTTATTTTATTATAGGACAATTACTAGTATTCACCCGTGCGATGCACGGGGACACATTTTCTCAAATGAAGATATGTAACTGTAAAATAATTAAACTAAATCAAACACAATTCTTACGCTCGTCGATTATAAACGGAAAAAAATGCAGTTAAAGATTTTCAATAATGTTGTAATTTATGAAACCAACCAATTACAAAACATTATCAACCGACAATACTAATACTAATACCAATACTAATACTAATATTAATACTAATACTAACACTAATACTAATACTAATACTAATATTAATACTAACACTAATACTAATACTAATACCAATACTAATGCTAATACTAATACTAATCCGAATATTATATGTTAATGCTAATCCTAATGTTAATGCTAATATGCTACTGTTAAAACTAATACTAATATTAATGCTAATATAAATTGAAATTATATGTTTTTAAAAGATATGCTAATGCAAAGTGTTTGTTAGCAAGTTATATTTTAAACGAAATTATATATATGATTAATAAAATATAAATCGAAAACTCGTATTCGTATGAAAAGATTTCCATCTGTTGATAATGGAAAGCAATGTTATCGGTATCGGATCGGACACAAAATCAGATAGGCATCCGGGCCACGGTTGGACTGGTTCAACCTAAATTCGACACGGTTTTTTTTCTTTTGTTTTTAATAATTTTTTTTATAATTTTTTTCATTACTTTATTAATTTTATACTTCAAAAATACTATTTTTCTATATTTCTCTTGAGTTATTTGCACATACCCCCTTGTGTAAGCTTTAATAGCGAAAAAAGTCCCCATGTTAAAATAGTTAGCAATTAATCCCCTATATTGCATTTTATTTAGTTCACTGTGCCCAAGTAGAAATAAATATGTTGCCAAAAGGAAGTGACTATACTACCCTTCAATTAATAACATAAAATTATAATTAATATATAATAGAGACAAAATTGCAATTTTACTTAACTTCTAAAACTTAAATTAGGAGACTGAATTGTAATTTCACAAACATAAGATCGAATTAAATTTAAATATAATCAATCCAAAACTTTGGATCAAATTTCAATTTTTAAAATTTCTTAAATAAAGGGGGAAAAACACACATATTTTATGGGGAAAAAAAGGAAAAAAAAAAAGAAAGAAAAGAGAGAAAATTCCTTATTCCCAAAAATTCTTCTTCCCATTGAAATCATCACCACAACCAAACTCACACCACCACCTTCGGCAATCACATTTTCACGCCGCCGTCGCCTCTTCTTTCCGCCACCCATCTCTTCCGCTCTTCTCGTCCCCTCCACTGTCAACTTCTCCCTGCTAGTTGCACACCAACGAATTCTTCTTTTCCAAATTCTAGAATCTTTGCAAGCCTCTTAAAATTACTAAACCCCAGACAAAGCTCTAATCGCCACCACCGCCAAAGCCCTAATCGCACCCATCGTGGGAGAAGATGATAAAAAGCAGAAAAACAACGGAGATGATTGGATCCGAATGCATCGGGTACCTTGCATAATGGTGGGCCACTATCAAAAGACGCCGGAGAAGATGCCAAAAAAATGCATAAACTATTTTTTTTTCTTGGATTGTTTTCTCTGAAAAGCTCTGTTTTCAATAGGGGTGGATATTTTGGATGTTCACGGGTTGTTGATGGATTTTGCAGAAGAATAATGAGCTTGAATCTTAACTACAAACTGAACCTAATGAGCTTGAATCTTAACTACAAACTGAACCTAATTTCATCGGAGAAAATGTTGGAGTGATGGGGCGAAGCAGAGGCTGAGGATATGGAGGGCTTGACCTCCAACTTATTTTAACAAGAAATAGATTATAACTCATTCCAATTATGGACAACAATATAATAAAATTCTTAATTATTTTATTATAGGACAATTATTGACAAAACCTATTAAAATTATTGATTACTCTATTATAGGATTATTGTTAACAAGAACATATTTATAAAAAAAATAATATAGATGATGTTTATTTGAAGGATAAAAATACATTATAACTCATTCCAATTAATTTTCGTACTTTAAATAAAAATATTGGTGATGAGTAGAATTAAAGTATTATGTTGTGATTTTCTTTTAATACTTGGTTTGACAGTATATTAAAGGCAGATATTACTAACAAGAACATATTAATCCAATTGACTATTTATAATTAAAGTATAATATATTTTGATTGAATTTATCATAAAAATAATAAAATATAATTCATTAAAATTGTAAGAATAATCTGTTATTCGTAGGATTTGAATCGGTTAAGATGAAGTTCTTTCAATTCATAAGTTTTATTCAAAGATTTGAATTGATTAAGATCAACCATTAACGATGGCGTATTAATCTGATTGATTATTTATAATTTAACTAATATCATTGTAATTGAATTTTATTGTAAAAAACTAATAAAATTAATTTGTAAAAATCATAAGAATCAAATTATAAATCGTAAAATTTAATCATTTTTCTACATTTATATTTTATTCAAATATTTAAATCGAATCATAAATTTAAATGGATTGAGTTCAAGTCCTTTAAAAAAAATTCTTTATTTTATTTTTTATAACATTACATTTGTCAATAATTTAATCTTATATATATATAACATAAAAAGATGATCTATGCCCTATATGAATGACACGTGGCAAATGTCTACGTCATTCATCAAAATTGCTTAGTTGTCGTTAAATTGATGAGGTGGAATTCTCAATTGGTTAGTTGTCATTTTTAATTTGGTATGTAATTAAGTTCATTCTTATTTAACATTTGTGCACTTATTTAAACATTTACCACATGTATATATATTATTTCAAATTTTAATTTTCTATAAATTCGAAGAAAAACGATATCGAGTTTATATTTTCAATATTTCAAAATATATTTATTGAAAAAATTCAGGATACTCAATTATTTTTGGAATAATCAAATAGATTTCATAAATAAATATATTTTTTTAATATTCAAATATTAAACTAAAGAAATGCAGTTGTTTTTTTTTCTCAATTTTTTGAAATATTAGAGTATCCATTCAATAAAAAAAATTTATGAACAACTTTTTTTTTTACATTGCACTGTTTAATAATATACAATAGTTTTTGTTAATAATAATTTGAAATTGCGTATTATACGTTCAATCAATTATAATGGATTAATTTATAAATTTATTTTTATTAATACCTTATTTTATTAAGACGATGATTGTATTAATACATTATTATATTTTGATTTATCGATTTACCCCCTTGTACTTGTACAATGTCCCAATATAGCCCTTTCCTTCAATTGTTGTCAATTTTGACTCTAACGCCATTTGGTCAACTCTGTAAATTACAAAATTGCCACTGCCTATAACGCGTTGTTTCTCTTCCGTCAATATTGTCATTTCTTTTTCCCCCACCACTTCCCCTTCCAAGATATCCCCAAATTGAACCCCTAACTTAGTAAAAATCAAGACCCAAAAATTGATCGACTCCACCCAGTGCAAAGAAAAAAAAATATGAATGTGTGAAACTTTCTCTTTTCTAATATCGAAAGTCAAAATCGAAAAAAATCAATATTTACGTCAATATTTTGACTCTTGACCAAATGGCGTCAGAGTCAAAATCGAAAAAAGTTGACGAAAATGGTTGTATTGGGAAATTGTACAAGTACAGGGGGTAAATCGACGAAATTAAGAGTACGAGGGGGTAAAGTGGTTATTGGGCAGAGTACAAGGGGGTAAAGTGGAATTTACCCATAATTATATATACATAGTTTTATATTCATAATTATTTTTATATATACATATGAGTACTATTTGTACTTATTTCTTTTGGGTTGTTAATTTTAATAAACTTTATTTAATATTTTTCATGCAGTTTATTATACAAAGTCGTTCGTACTTTATGACAATCAAAACAGTTGTTTGCACTCAGTTCAAACTATGTGTTCTTTGCAACGCATATTTTAACCCTAATTTCGACCCATGTATGTGCGTCGCATGTAAGGAATCAATCAAAGTCGTTCAACGCTCTGGATGTTGGATCTTTCGGTCAATGCATTAATTCAACGTATACATGAGAGGGTAAAAGTCAATAAACATTCGTGATTTTTTTTTCATGTTCGTGCGTACATTTGTTTAAATTCATTTTCCATTTTTTGATTTTTGTTTTTTTTATAATACATATACATGGTTGTCTACTAATTAGGGAGAAGACGATCTGGAATATCCAATAGAACTTGATGCTCTCATTGATAGAATGATGTTATTCAAACTTAACGCTCTGGAAAAGAATGTGCACAATCCAACAGATTCAATATACCGTTTTCAAAAGTTTGTTTTAATGATCCTGTCATTACTTCGTTTATGGAACATTATAAATTGAATAAGGTATGTACATTTGAAACATTTGCATTATTACTTATTGTTTTCTTAATTATTATATAATATTAATTTTGTACTTTATTTACGTAGAATCATAACAATGGTGGGTGGACATTCCCCAAGTGTAAATGATTATAATGGTGGTCCTGTTATATCGTCAAAGGTAGATTAAACATGTTCATTCGTTATTCCAAAAAAGCTATAAATTCAATATGTACGTTGTCAATATATTTATTGTCTAATTATCTTTCCTGTCATGATTCGTCTTCATTGTCCGAGAATAATAATTATAAAGTACTTTATGTTACTCCATCGTCAAAGCGATCGGGTGATAGTGTTTTCGAAAAGGTAGAGGACGATGCAACACTGCAACACTCAACCAGCAAGTTGATCAAAAAATTAAGCTAAAGAAAACGGAGTAGTTATCATCTTTATGCTTACTTTGTTTTTTTCTTTATTTTCACGTTTGGCTTGTCATTTCATTTTGAAACGTTCTAAATTTTAAAGTTTTGCAAGTGGTGTTTTCGTATGTCGGATTATTTAAATTATAATATCTTTTTTTTTACATTGTCATATTAATGCATATAAGTGATATTATCATATTTCGAATTAAAATTCAATTCATAGAATTTATTATATGTGTGATGTTTCGCAATAGATCATTAATAAAAATATTTCATAAATACCTCCTTTATGTAACATTTTTTATTTTTAAATGTTTGTATAAAGAAAAATGACAAGAAAAATTGCCGTGGAAGTCAGCGGTGATTAGTTCCACAAATTAAACCCAACTTAATAATAATATAGTATTTAATTACATGCCCCGTATTAAATATAATAATAAAATAATGGGGTAATATTCTAGGAGCCTCTCAAATGAAACTTAATTTGAACTAAATAACAAGTCGAAATCCAATCTTTTAATTACATCCTTAATTTGAAACAATACATGACATACATCCTTAATTAATTTTTTATCCCTAAATTACCCTTATAACCTAAATCTTTTAATCTACATATTCATTCACGTTTTTTGAATTAAATTTATTTCTATTTCTTATTCTCTCATTCTTTCTCTCTATCCCCTCCCTCTCCCGTCTCTTTCTTTCTCTCTTTTTCTCTCCCTCTCTCTCGATCGCTTTCTCTCTATCTGTCTCTCTCTCTCTCTCTCTCTCT